TGCCATCACTGAGTGAATGTGTATACTCTTTAGCCTGATACCAGTTTGATACCAGGCTAAAGCCTGATACAGTGGTACTGTGCAAATAGTACCAGTGCTACCGTACCTAGTATGCCTGATGAGGCAATCAAAATATTAATTTTGTTGGACCTTAAAATAGAGAAGAAAACCATTCAACTGCTATACCAATCATCCCAACCTGCCTACTTAGATATATGTTGTATTAACTTCCGAGAAAGAGAAGCACACAGGCACTTCCCTCAGGTTTTGAATGATAAGCAGTGCAGGGCTAGCATTTTGTCTTTGGTCTGCAGCCTAGACTCTTTGCCTTCAGGCCAGCCAGAAATGAAGACAGCTGCTGTACAGGCCTGACTGTCTGCTCATGTGTTGTAACTTCATCCAGCCAAGGATAGCAAATTATTGGTAACCAGACGTTTAAATAGATTTAAATAAATTTTTTCAATATGTGTCTCCAAAATGCTACCATAATTCATGTTCCTTCAAAAATATTTCTCTTATACAGCGTTTAGTTGCCATTCCAGCAGCGTACTGTAATGGCTGGAAAAAGTGTGCTGGTTGAGATCCAGGAGTTAGTCATTTTGGATATCTCGTTAACAATGTAAAAACATTTTCTTGGTTGTTTTTTGCAGTTTCCTGATATTGTTTCCTGTTTTATTTTGGTATACTCACCTTAAATGAACCCACAATCAACACATCTGGTGTGGGTTTCACGTTCCCACTATGTCTTTCTTGGGGTTCATTGTTTCTGAGGGGAGAGTTCAAATGGATTCAGCTCAAGTTAGTGTTATCTTGGATTGGTCCATTCCTGTCAGCCGCAAACAGGTTCAACTTTTTTGGGGTTTGCTAACTGTTACAGATGTTCCAAAAGGTACTTTAGTACTGTGGCAGTTCCTTTGCATGCTCTAACATCCTTCAATGGCAATTTCCAGTGAACCCCTCAGGCTGACTGGGCTTTCCAGAAACTTCAACTGTTTCACTACAGCCTCTGTGTTGGCCCTGACCTGCTCCAGCAGTTTTGTTCGAGATATGTTGGGGGTTCTTGTGGTGAACTACCAATGCACTAGGAAGGACAACAGACTCCATCCATGTGCTTGCCTCTCCCAGAAACCTTCTGCAGAAAGGAATTATGATGTGGGAAACCGGGAGCTGTTGGCGATAAAGGTGGCATTAAAGGAGTGGTGCCACTGGTTGGAGGGAGTATCTGTTTTCTTGTGTAGACTGATCACAAGAACTTGGAGGGATGGCAAAGTGGTGCAACCCTTATCAGGCAAGGTGGGACCTGTCTTTAATTGTTTCTCTGTCCTATCACCCTGGTCCCAACCCCTCCAATACCCCAGGCAGTGCCTCTTCTCTCCCTTCCCAGGTGATCCATTGGGCTTACACCTCACTCCTCTCGGCATTTCTGGTGGCCCTCCATGGAAAATGAGGTCGGACAGTCACTTCTTGCCCAGTGTAAACGTTTTACATCATCTTCGCCTGCTTCCTGATCCTCATTGACCCTGGTCAGACATTTTTATGAAGGTATTATTGGGGCCAAACAACTGGCAACAATCCAGCAGTAAATATGTCACAGACAAATTTTGCACATCTGTAAATCAGTATGTAAATTCATGAAATGAGAGTTTCACACCTGTACAATATTTTTTGTCTTGGATATAGGCTATGATGCTTGCAGCTCTTTCAGTATGCTAACAGTTGGCTGTCATGCTAAAAGGAAAGTCACAGGAGGCGTACTCCTCTGTAATGTACCCAGCAACAAAAATGCTGCATTCATGGTGTCCATGTTGTTGATATGTTGCTTTGGTGCATGCATAAGCACATTAGTTTGTGCCTGCATGAACATGCAGTACACTTAAGTTAGTTAAGTCAGTTATTATACTTTCCAGGTCTGCAAGTAAGCAAGTGTCTGTTAGAGTCCGTGTGATATAAATTGCATTATCACAGTGTGTACGCATAGGCTCTGTGTGGACATCTGTGTACTAACAAACTGACTGTGACTGTGCAGACTATACGCACTACACTATGGGGAACATGTTCTCTGGAAAATAGTATAAACAGAACTACTACATGGCATCCACAACTGTCCGTGTACACGTCCATTTGGGAGTATATTCAAGTCTTTAGGGTCCCAGGAGTTTTAAAACTGGTCACCCTATGTAAACACTGACAAGGAAAACTCCCTTGGTGAATAAAATGGTTTAGTCTATGAAAATAGTCTCTGAAAAAGTGTGTTTTCGCCCTGCTGAGGTGCCACAGTTCATCCATCTTGTAGGCTAGAGAGCAAACACAAGAGCACAGTTGGAAATCCCCGCTGTCTCAGTTTCCTCTTCAGCGTCTCCTGAAAATCCCATAGAGAGCTGATGCTCCTCCAACTATCACTAAAACGTTCTGGTTCAGTGAAAAAAAAAGTTTGATCAGTGGATTGTGGGATGTTGAAAAGTTCCTCCTTGATGAGTGTGATCAGCCATTACAGTTGAGATCATCAGCCACAGCCAATCACTGATTACTAGTCAGACTTCTAAGATGACACCAGTCTGAATTGAATGTCACATTAATGTAAAAGTTTCTATATCACAAGGTTTAATACACAGAGAGTGATCATACGTATGTAGCCCGGTGTAAAAGTACAGGGGTTAAAATAAGTTAATTTGTAATAAAAAACAATTATTTCAGTTAATTAATTAAATATTTCAGTAATGCAATTAAACTGAAAGTAATTTAGGTTAAAAGCAGTGAAAGATGAAATGTTAACCGAGAGATTAACATAAATTCATAATAAATAAAGTAGAGTGTAAATAGTTAATTAAGTAGTTACATTAAACTGTTCTGTATAGTAGCTGAAGAAAAGTGTGTGGTAAACTAAACATGAATATTCAGATTTGTGTCATTGGTTCATGCTGTTTCATTTGATTGGTTGCTGTAGTTATCACTCAATGTCACCTGTTGGTAATTGGCCGTAGGTATAATGACGTTTTGGTAGATAACTTGCTGAATGTTTCAGTAACAGAAGAAGCTGTAGCTGAGGACAGTAACCTGGACACAGTGGATTAGGGCGCTTGGGTTTTGCAAGAGTGACTGTGCTAACTTAGCAAAGCCAGCGAGCTGCTAGCCAAGAGGACGCCATTGACATTGCTGAACGGAAGGACTGTTTCGCGCTTCCTGAGGAACTATGCTTTCTTCTGCCGTTGTTT